AAATGTTGGCAGTTGCTTTAAAAATATGCTATATACCATGAGGGTCAAACTCCAAGTTCCTGGAGGACTGCAGCGCAGCAGAGTTTAGTTCACACCCTGCTTCAACATTACCTGTAGATTTCTAACAAGCCATAATTAGTTGGATCAGGTGTGTTCAGTTAGAGTTACAGCTTAAAGTCCCAGTCACACTGCACTTTTCTCCCTTTAGACTTCCATTCATGCGCATGTGAATGCTGCAGACCTGGAATGCTAGCTCATGCGAAAGATTTCAGTGTTTGCAGCATTGGAAAGTTCAAACTTGGAGATCTCTGACCTGCAAAATCACATCATGTGATTGCTTGAGACCAATCAAAGATCAAAACATGACCTGTCTGAACAAAAATTTTAACTATGGACCGACTATAAAAAGTCGCTTGCTTTTTAGACGATATTTATATCTGCTGATTTCTTAATTTTGTTTTACATTTTCTGTTGTATATTTGTTTGCTGCCAAAACAAAAAAAATACATTTGTCTAAATTTTTATGCCTTTTATTTTTAATAACAGGTAATAATACGAATTAATTTTAGTAAGACTATGACATACTATTAATGTGTATGCAGTATAATGCTGTGAGTTGTAACACTACAGTACTGTAATTAACTGTACACAGTTTCCAGTTAGTTACCACTACTGCTCTATTACAGTAATTAACTGGCAACACTGTTGCCAGCTACTCACTATAATGGTTCGGTTACAGTAAATAACTGGCAACACTGTTGCCAGCCACTTACTGTAATGGTTCATTTACAGTAATTAACTGGCAACACTGTTGCCAGTTACTTACTGTAACCAAACTTTTACAGTGAGTAACTGGCAACAGTGTTGCCAGTATTCTACTTTAAAAATGCCCGGTAAGGTCTAACAGTGTAGGCATCGATACCGTTTACATTAATGGTGACAGATTATGGCTTAAGCACCAAACAAGTGGTTTAAATTATGTGCTAGTCTCCTTAATTCTTTCCGTTTTATTATAAATAATATACATATTTAAGGTTTTAGGTAAGACGAATGTCCACACATGCAAGCTAAACTAAATCATAACCAAGTTATCACACTTTAATGTTCACCCATCAGCATTAGAAAAAAAAATGTTACAACTGAATGTCATTTTAAAAAAGTTATTAAAATGATGTGTTACTTAGTTACATTTTAAGGCATTAGTGTAGCAAAACAGAGCCTGTCTAACTATCTCCTTAGATTATCATTCAGCCTGCAGTGCATGAGGTGGATCCGCGGTCAATCCACATACATACTCACTATATACCTTTTTAATTTATAACACTGAAAACTTGACTTCGCAGGCCGATCATCTTTAAACTCAAAAGGCATTTTTTAAGTTTCCCATCTTGAGATTGCTGCTGTATAACGGGATGTTTCTTTACACAAATGTAAAAGTGAGTTTTAGTGGTGTCAAAATGAAAGCAAATATTTTTAAGTGTTCTGCGCTTTGTCAGTTTTATAGCTTAGCTAATAATAATAATAATAATAATAATAATAACAATAATAATGAATATAATAAATTGTAATATTATTTATAGTGTAGACCTTTCTTTAATATTAATCTCTAACTGAAAAACTCATATGAAAATGATTGGCCGGCAGCTGCGTCTCTGCCAAAATTAATTTAACGGCAAATTAATTTTACACATTGCTTAATACACACAGGATGTACAGCAATACGCAAATATCTTTACAAATAAAAAAGAATTAAAGGATTAAAATATTACAAAAAATATTTTTTTTCTAGCCTACATAAATATAAAAACAATGTCTTCATCCTTTCATGTCGGGGGGCTTTTTTAGTTTATTCATGACAATTTGCTTTTGTATAATGTTATTATTATTAGCAGTATTATTTATTATATGCATATTTATATTTGTTTTATTAAAAACAAGCTTAAATTTGCCCACCTGTCAGGTTTTAGACCATATGGGGCACAGCATGTGTATTTGGATATAACTCAGTTTTTTTTTAACACACTTTGTTATTATTGTTCAATTATCTGTTTGCTGGAAATTAGAACTTAGTTTAGAAATAGTTTTTAAACAAATCTTTGCGCATAACAAACTAACTTAATTATGTATAGGCTAATGGATGTCTGTGTAAACAACACATTTGCCTATCCACGAGAGCGAAAATGAAAGTAAAGAATGAGGAGGCTCATCTCTCATTCTCCTGCTGCAGATGCTCTGTTTAACTGTTTTCTTACTAGTGAAATGCTCAGTTTTTCCACTTACAAAGTCTGTCATGCAAATGGCAAATGCACTATGGCACAAAGGGAATGGGGGAAGACTCTGATTGGTTTATTCTCAAAACACACCTTTAACTCATTAAGAGAATAAGCTCAACCCTGTTAACCATGTGCCATAGCGCAAAGTGGATTTTTTCCATCCTTATATTAGCAAAAGTGGATTCAGACACACCCATAATGCTTTTGCGCTTTGGGCCTGGATCCTCAAAATAGAGCCCTTGGGGTTCATTGTCATTTTCTTTCATCACACGAAACGCACACAGACATGAGGAGGAAATAAGTCATAATCATAAGACAATCTTTAATCTAATGACTTTTATTAAAAATGTTGACAGAGATTTTGTGAAATAATAATAGCAGCGGAGCATAAATTAAATGTATATTTCCTGTGGAGCGATCGATTTGAGGTAGCCTGATATTTTTGTTTGACAGAAGAAAAAAAAAAAAAAAACATGATTGGACAAACAGCAGACCCTCAGCGTCATCCACTGGACCAGCTCCTTCTTCTGGTCTAAATGTCTTAAAAAGAAACCGTTTGCAGGAGTTTGCTTACAACCCAGAATAAAAGGGAAAAAAAGTGATAATGGCATTGATTTCACTTCTAATCTTTAGTTTAGCAGTTCAGTTCTTTAGCATTTTATAGCACTTGTTGTTTAAGCACTTTAAGCACTTGTTATTGTTTAGAAAAACACTTTATTTGACAGTATTTTTAATTAAATGCTGCAAAGCATAATCTCATTTCTCATTCTCAGTTTACCAGTTTTTTTATCACTGTAAGCTCTTGTTTCTTTATTTTTGTTATTATCGTCAATATTTAAGCTTTCTCTGCAGTTTCTCTCCACTACCACCCCCCTCCCGCTCCCGCCATTTAAAGTTCAGGCTCAGAATTTTTTTTTTACTTTAACCCCTGGGGGTCTGGCTGCAGACTCGGTGCAGTGCAATTCTAGCTGCATCCAATGCTTTTTAATGTGCTCACCTAACCCCACCCCTAACCGTCACAATAGCGTCACTAGCTCCATTGAGTCTGACATTGCATCGCTGAGTGATGCAAGCTGAGCTTGCATCATAAAGACTGCATCCAGATACGATTGCTTTCATCACGTGTTGGCATTGTCTTCTGAGGTGCAGGTCATCTATTAAATAAAGAAAGCATTCACACAGCTTCTCCTGCTGCAGCAAATTTCATTTTTTACCTTTTGGTGTCAGTTAATCAGGAAGTGATGATTTTGTTCTCTTTGACTCGTTGGATAGAAACACCGCTTCAGTCGCACGTCTTTTAAGCAATATTCCTGTTCTGCATCTTTGGATGGAAACAGCTATTGTGTGCCTCCTGCATTACCATTCTGGTTTTCACAATCATTTTAATCAATTCTTCACGTGAATTCATTACTTTGTCTTGCACCGGTTATACACAAACGACTTGATACAAATCATAACCTCAGTTTGGGGTTGTTAGTTGACAGAACAGGCACCATGGTTGTTGAACAGCTCATCTCCTTTAAGGTTTGAAATGTTAGTTTAAATATGTTTTTTCTGCAAAACACAGTTGTGACCAGGGAATAGGTTACCCCTGAACTTATACTAGTCTAGCCCAGGGGAGTTACTAGAATCAAATTTCCCAAAATAGAGTGATATGGACATTGTGGCACTTTAAATGCACATAATGCCTGTTTTATGAATGCCATATATGCCTCATAAAAGTTCCAGGACCATGCCAGGAAATCCCTAATATGGATGAAGGCATCCAGCTTTTGCTATAGTTCAAAGGTGTTCAAACTGAGTGCTGAAGAGCTGGTGTCCTGGAGAGTTTAGCTCCAACCCTAATCAAACACACACGAACAAGCGAATCAAGCTCTAACTAGATATACTTGAAACTTCCTGGCAGATGTGTTGAAGCAAGTTGGAACTAATCTCAGCTGGTCACCGGCCCTCCCAGACTGAGTTTGGACACCCCTGTGTAGTTGAACGAATGAAAATAAGAATTGAAAAATAAAATAGATTACCACATCTAGAAAATCTCAAAAGCAGATGCTCTATCAGCAACAAACATTCGTAGCAAAATAGAGAGAGAGAGAGAGAGAGAAAAAAAAAAAGACACGTTACCACTTTAGCTCTCAAAAAAAAGTCTTTAAAAAGTAACGTTTCCTTTCATTTATATTAATAAGACATATTTTTTTTTATTACAGCCATTGACCAAAACTGCACACAATTTTATACTGCGAAAACAAATATTAAGCTTAATCTGTACTTGGTTTCGTTTATCAGTTGTACTATTTTCCCCATCAGCTTCAGCTTTTCAAAATATTGAATGACTGTAGTAAACCTGCCTTGTGATAAGTCCCACTCCCACCTGCTGGTGGAAATGGGTACTGCTGAACAGCTGACTAATACCCGACACAAAAGCGGTGTTAAATGAAATGCATGTGATGTGGTAATTTTTAGTACTTAGATAAAATTATAACCTATTTATTTATAAATAAATGCAACATGTTCCAAAAGATTAAAGGCTTAAGCCCCCAAAGCCTTAAGTCATCTTATGAAAAGCAAAAAAATGCCTCAAAGGCCATCTATACAAAAGAAAAACAATTTTTGAACAGTACTGTGGGTAAACAAATGGGCATCAACTTCTCTCAAGAACAGAATGTTTGCATTTTAAAAGGATTTATTGAAAGTCTCAGTCTCTCTCTCTCTCTCTCACACACACACACACACACACACACACACAAGGCCCATGAGTAATCTTTGCAAGTACAGTCTTAAAGACTTGTTTTTAGTGCAGCCAATGTGGAGGAGATGCTGACAAAAATTAAGCTTAGGAATTCAAATCAATGGGTCCTCTGAGCTGCAAGAGAAGAGAAACCATTAAATTTAGACCATACTGTAAGTCTCAAACTTGATTCCTGGAGGGACGCAGCTCAGCAAACTTTTGCTCCAACCCTAATCAAACACAACTGATCCAATCAATCAAGGTGTTCAAGACTACTAAAAACGGCTAAGCAGGTGTGAGTTGGTTGAACCTAAACTATGCAAAGGAACAGCCCTCCAGGATTTGAGACCACCAATTTAGACATAGCCGATTAGTAAAATAAAAAGTATGCAACTGCACTGCTTCCAACGATACAGTACCTTTGGATGCAGCAAAATTTGACTACCAGGTACTTGTACGTGTCAGGACATGGATCAGGGAACGTGCTGTAGTCCACTCGTATGGAGCATCTCCTCTTCTCATTACATCTAACACACACACACACACACACACACACACACACACACACACACACACACACACACACACACACAAGCTCAAATTTACCCATTTTTAACTACCATAAATTAATTTCTATACAGATCATGGTGTGTGTCAAACTAACACTTAAAATTGCAAACAATTTGGTTTAACAGTCGATACAAAAATCAGCTAACAAAATGTCACATTATAGTTACTGAAACATTAACAATTTATGAATAAGGTTCCCATCCAGTTTGCTCAAGTTTCACCTTTCAGACACTATGGCCAGTGTTTGGGGTAAATGGCAGTTGATGTTTTGGACCGAACATTTGTCACAAACGCTGCAGACCCTTTTATTAGTTCGTCCATACTTTGCATCAGTTATCTTAATGTTATATTTTTCTATGAAGAGAAGGAGTGCAGCAATTTTTTAATAAGTGACATGATTAAAATGGCAGCATTATACATTCAACAAAACTTTAATAGATTGGCATTCAAGCACTTACCAGGACAGCCCAGCTTCAGTTCAGACCCGCCACACCTAATTACTGTTGCTGAAATGAAAGAGTCCAGCTTTAAAAGACATTGTCACTTTTAAACGGGGAGATTGCACTGGCCAGCGACTGAATTAAAGCTCTGAATAAGTTTGGTGCAAATAAACGTTCATTCATCTACTCTTGAGAATTCGGAGCACTTGAGTTTCTCTCAGTGTCTTGACAGCACATGGGTGCTCTTTGCCCATTTATATCAGTGGATGTGCAATGCATGAAATGGCAATATCAGGAACATATACAACATGCATATTTAGACTTTAGCAAATCAGTTTGAGCAAACTAGTAGTAGTAATAATAATAATAATAATAATAATAATAATAATGCATCACTTCAGAGTTAAATTAAAGATTATGTACTTCATTTTACATCATGAATTAATATGGGATCATAGAAGGACTTACTAGCAGGCATGTTGCATTCATCTGCAGATATCAGCAGGCTGCAGTTCAAAAGCATTACTGAATAACACAAATGAGAGATTTGATTAAGACACCTGTGCACTGCTAATCTCACACAGATGCACATTTTCAACAGCACAACATTTAATCCAGATAAAAACTTAACAATAATACAGCTAAAAACTGATGTTCACTGCTCTATCCTTTTTCAATTAAATAAACTTACAGGTAAGAAAGAAACTGTGAAAGAACATGATTCTGCTGACTTACTCAAAAAGTAATTCTATGCTTGACTGATTTCTATTTATAGGTCAGTGGTTTAAGTGGTAATAAGCGACACCTGTGGCCCATTCTCAACTTTGCACCCTTTTTTCACATTTTTAATTGAAATGAATACTTTTGGACTTGGGTTAAAATGATGGGTTAAAAACAAGAAAACAGAGATTCTTGAAATAATAAATTTAGAAAATATTTATAAGTATATATTTATAAATATAGTTATAAGTTTATATAAGTCTTCTCTGTAAATGCTGCATTTGTTTGATTATTATTTTATTTTTTCACTGTTTTATATGCATTTATATTATCATTTAACATGCTGTTAAGTTGCAATCACTGTCATTTTTCGGTGTAGATTCTATTTTTGTATGTTTGTTATCGAAGCATCAAATAAAAATATATAAAGAATCGATAGATGATCCACATGCAACAATTTCAGATCAATTCATCCAGACATTCTAATCTGAATTAAGAAACTTGGTAGAAGAAGCACATTAGTCAGAGATAAGTTAGCATTACAAGATCCAGGATTTGCTAAATCAAGGGTTCTGAACCTTTGGCAAGCTGGGCCCCCCCAAAGCTTGTCCATTGCAGTTTGGGCCCCAGTTTATTGTTATTTATTTATTAACAACATAAATATATTTAAACACGTTTGTGTGTGCGTGGCTGCTTGTATTTCACAAAAACTAAAGGAAAGCTTTAACTGTAGCCTATATTTTGACTAGCTTATGTGTGTGTGTGTGTGTGTGTATAATATATATATATATATAAAAACTAAATACGACCTCACATTTTATACAATTGCAGCCTTTGCAACTTGCGTCCGTCATAAAAATGAATTCAGATGGTTCGATTTTCTGCATTTTTCACATTCATTTTTGAGGGGTGCCACCAAATGTAGAGGTGTAAACCTAGACTGGTCTCACGATTCGGTTCGGTTCAGTTCGGTTAGGATTATCATGCCATCGATTTGGTTCAATTCTATATCTTGCTGCATTGACGATGCTTTCCATAAATGTTTTCACTGCAATTCTTGTATTAAAATGTATAAATAGATTTACATATTATTTGTTTTACAATTTTGTCCTTTAATACAAACAGTCAGATATTCAAACTGTACCTTTAAACAACACGAGCATCTATAGCAAATAAACAAATATAAATATCCTGCTCGCTTTCTAAGCCTTGTCTACCAAGTTCATACACCCCTTTGATTGGTCACGCGCTCAACAGAATGGGCTGCGATTGGCTCTTACTCACTGGCGCTCTTCACAGATGAGTGACACTGATAAACGGCAGCGGCGATCAGCTTATTCATGATAGACACGGTGGAGAAAACTCTGCAGACACGTGCTCGTGTCTGTATCCAGAAGTATCGCTGTAACAGCCGAGAGGAGAGGAAAAGTCACACCAGCAGGTCAAATGGGCCACAGTAAGAGAGAAAGAGAGAGAAAGAGTTTACTTTAATTTTCTCAATCACAGTGAAATAAGGCCTTCTGCTATAAGTGTGAGTGAAAGACTGTCCAGCAAACACACACGCAGGGAAATTGTGCAGTTTCTGTGTTTTTAAGTAGTTGGAGACTTATTGGTTAAGTTGCGTCATTGATTCGTGGGTCTTTGTTTCTGCCCTATTACCAAACGGCATTTGGGCTATAAAAAGGGAAAAACATTTGCTATCTGGAATGGGTCACTTGATGGGCTTCCAAGATCTGCCGAGGGCACGTGAAAGACTAATCTGGTTGGATATTACTTTGCTTAAAGTGTTTTGCTGTTATAGCCAAGGCTAAAGTGAGTGTAAAGACGGGAAAAGGTAAGAAAGCATTGTGTAAGTACAGTAGTTCAATGTTGTGGTTTATGCAATCCATCTAGGAAGGCTGTATGCCCACTTCCTTTTCTCAGCTGCGAGAACCAGACGCAGGTGCGCCGCTGGGTTTGTTTTGCGGTGCCGGCTGTTTGACTGAAACTGACTATGTGATGACTGCCTTTTGATTTAACCTCGATCCCCTTTGGTGAGAGGTGGATGTTTGCATGTAGTTGTAAATTGTCTGATAGGAGATTTTAAACTTTATACCATAACGATTTAATTTCTTTGTTTATAGACTGGGTCGTATTCTGTAAAGTGAGCTTCTGTCAGGTTTTATTTTGTGTTTAGGTTATTTTGGTTTACATAAGAATTGTTTATTTAGCCAACTTTATTGTTGTTGGTTTGTTTATTTACTATTGCTTGTGTTACTGTCCCATTTCTCCTGTTTGGTTCGTTTTGATTGTATACATTTTTATTAGGTAAAATTCTCCATTTTTGTTTATTCCTTTTGGCAGGATTTATTTATTTATTTATTTGCTTGGTTTATTTCCGTTATTTTGATTATTTATCCAGCTTGTTTTCTTGTTATTTTTATTGATTTATGAGATCTGGTTTTTCATAAAATGTTATGCCTTTTGTGAATGTCTAGTGGGGCTCTGTATTTTCATACTTAAATTTTGTTTAGTCTATTGATTTTTGGTTTATTTTCTTTTTTTTGTAATTCAATTGGCTTAAGATTAAACTTTATGCTTGTTTTCGTTTTTATTAAGAAGGGATTTGATTGACTTTTGTCTTTTTTTTATGTAAATTCTTCAAATTTTCTTTTGCGTGCAAGTTTATAATTTCTCTTGTAATTTTGTTCTGATTGCAGGGCATTTGTCCGAATTGGTTACTTGCCGTCTTGTGACAGGGCCATAGCTCCCAGGATGGAAGGATCATTTTTTAGGTGATTAGGATTTTTCTCACAGCGTGCAGTGTCACTGTGTGTGCTTGTTTGTGTGCGTGTGCACTTTAAACAGTGGAGTGCTGTGTTTTCACTTACAAGAAGTGCAGTCTGGCCACCTTCCCTGGCTGGTGAGCTCCAGCCCTTGGGCACAATTTATGATTGTACAGCTACTGTGTCAATGTTGCAATATGCAGTGTTTTTTACTTAAGACTTGTCAATAAAGAAATTATTTTTGTACTGTGCCGATGTCTCTGACTTCTAACTGGTGGAGCAAACTTGTGCGTGCCTTTATAGGTGGTGCATGTATTCCCAAAGTGACGTAGTCAGGTAAATTGGTGTAATTTCTATTCTATTGGGGGTCATCCTCCATCTGCCCACCTGCCACCCATCACAGTAAGTTACGGCGACATAGCGCATATGTGATAAATGACATCAGTACATAATAACCGGTTATGATCTATTACTATTATATTCTATTACTTATAAAAAAAAAAAATAATAATAATAATATTATATATATATATATATATATATATATATATATATAAAAAGCTGGTTTGTATTGTCATCAGTACTCTTTCAGTGTTTAAAGACAGACCTTAGTTTAATGATTTCTAAGTTACTAAAGTTTACAGTACGTTATAGACTGAAGAATCTGCTGTAAATGCTGCACTCCGAGTGTAAACATGTTAGTGCCACAATCAAACTATTTCCGTCGTGTAGCATTTTTGATGCATTTTGTGACAGGAATAACACACACTGCTTTCTGAATCTACCAAGTGCATCTAAGTTTACGAAATGTGGAGTCTCTTTTTTTCTCTCATTCTCCGTGCGGTATCAAAAATTGCATTAAAAATAAACACTTCCAGCAATTCCTTGAATCAAATTCTCGTTTCTCATGAGGGTCATGAATGAAAATTCTGAATGAAAGAGCCAAACTACAGTTAAATAATTTGTCAAATAATTCAATTACTGATATCCATGTAAACGGTCACTGTCTTTCTCTCTCGAGTCTGTGGGCCCTATCATATACCCGGCGCAATGCGGCGCAAATGTTATTTGCTAGTTTCAGTTTGGCGCAAGTGTAATTTTTCTGTTTTGCACCAAGTTGTTTAAATAGCAAATGTATTTCCTCTCATATGTGTGCCCATAGGCGTGCGTTATGGTCTAAAAAGGAAGGCATTCTGAGGCGCACTGCTGGCGCGTTGCTATTTTGAGAAACTATAATAGATTTTTCATTAGACCAAAACAAACCCGGTCTAAACTCCAGCGCAGTTGCGCTTCGCTTACACACTGCTTAATAGCCTAAACACAAGATGTAGAGCAATACACAAATATCTTCACATATGAAAAGAATTAATATTAAGTGTGTGTGTGTATATGTATATATATATATATATATATATATATATATATATATATATATATATATATATATATATATATATATATATATATATAATAAGAATATAGGATATAAATATAAAGGATTAAAATATTACAAAACATTATTTTCTAGCCTACATAAATATAAAAAAACACTGCTTTTATGCCTTCTTCTCAGGAGGCTTTTTCAGTTCATTCATAACAATTTGCTTTTGTATATTGTTTTTATTATAAGCAGTATTATTTAATATATCCATATTTATATTTGTTTTATTAAAAACAAGCTTAGATTTGCCCACCTGCAGGTTTTAGACCATATGGGGCACAGCATGTGTTTGGGGATATAACTCAGGTTTTTGAGCACACTTCGTAATCATTGTTCATTTATTCGTTTGCTGGAAATTAGAACTGAAGTTAGAAATAGTTTTGAAACAAATATTTGCGCTTAACAAATTAAATTAATTATTTATAGGCTAATTGATGTCTGTGCATACAAGGTTTACCTATCCACGAGAGCGAAAGTGAAAGTAGATCGTTTATCTCTCATTCTTGCGCAGTAGATGCTCTGTTTAACTGTTTTCTGTTAAAAGAAAAAAAAAAACTGTTTGCTTGTGAAATGCTCAGTTTTTTCCACTTACACTTACTTTACGTCATGTAAATAGCAAATGCGGTTATGGCGCGACGCAAGGCTCTTAAAGGGAATGGAAGATGAGACTCTGATTGGTTTATTCTCAAAACACACCGATAACTCATTAAGAAAATAAACTCAACCCTTTTAGATCATGCGCCACGGCGCAAAGCGTTTTTTTTCGTCCTTAAATTAGCAAAAATGCATTCTGACATGCCCTGAAAGCGTTTGCGCCC